TGAAATGTTACTCTAATCAGCCGAATCCTCAGATAAAGGAATATACAAGCAAGGAAACTCTAAAGTGTGACAAGGGCTTTGATTTTTATTTCCACCCTGATAATTAAATGGCAATATTAAATATCATGTACCAGTCAGAGGTAGATGTAAATACAACATTTTTTTCCCACCATGCTTCATTGCATGGTATTGTTTTTCAAACCACTCCTTCGTAAAGTAGTTTCTGCATTGTATATTTGGAAACTTACTGTTTAAAATGAAATCTGATGAGAATTAAGATTTGTTTTCTCACATATCAACAAAGCCACACTTTGAAGACCTTGCCTGTATACTAAGCTAATTGATCTATTTCCCTCTTTTGTGCCAAGGTTACAAAAATGTTATCCTAGCTTTATTTCTAAATCATTAGACTTTAAGGTGTCTCATTCTGTTTTCAGGATTATGCAATATTAGGCAGCCTGACATACTGATCAAACTTTCCTATTTCTCCAACGAATCTGGGAACTATAGCACCACCTTTTTAAACTTGTTTGTTTTGTGGATTTGTTAAGCGATCTGATTTATTTACATCTCACATCTTTTCTTTCAAAAACACATTACAAAGAATTGTGCCAGACTACATATATCAAAAGCTTATTAACACTCTTCAACGATCAATAGAAATTTCTCTTTATATACCTGTAATTTATTTTTCAACTGGCAGATTTATTGTACAAGCTTGGGAAAAAAATTGCAGCAGTGCTTCAAAGTTATTCCTTTCTTTTATTATTTCCATTCCTTCAAAAAGTACGTTTCTAATACTTTCTTAATTCTGAAAAAATGGAGAGGAAGCACTTGTAAACAGCTTGTTTCTCAACAACATTACATAATGAACATTTTACTTCAGGGAGATTTACAACTTCATTTGGCGTCTTCCTATCATGTTCAAGAACATCAGATTCATTAAGATAAAGACCCACATCCTTTTTATTGCACAAAACGACACCTTAGATCGGCCCTCATTAAAATCACCTAAAATCGTATCTCTGTGACCCCAAAACACCTCCCTCAGTCTAAGGGGACTGAGACAAATGCCCAACATCATGCAAGAAATTTGATATTTTATAGCTTGTTCCTTTCCAATATGTCTTTGCCTAAACAACAATTGGGCTTTTAGGTTTAAAATATTCTAAAATGAGAAATTTAAATACCCTGCTTTACAGTATAATTATAATGAAAGAAATGTTTCACACAGCATATTTCTAACATGACTGTATATACATAATAATGAATATCTAGAAAAGGAAATTTAATTTTTTATGCAATAAATTAACGGTAAAAACATTTCGAATATATATTATACATCATGTGAATGCAGCTCTTAGCTAAGATGCACATAAAGCTTGCACTTAGCATAGCAGTAAGTACTAGTACTTCAAAAAAAAATAATGAATGCACTTCAGAAAAGAGTGCAATACCATAAGCCTGCTACCACTTCAAAAACAAATGATAAATATAGGTAGGAAGGCATTTCCTTTCGGTACTACAACCATTATTGTGGCCACTTGTCCCGACACCAGAGTCAGACAGACGTATACCACAAGCAAGAAATAACAAACTGCTTCTCAAGTCTTTGACTGTCCATTAACACTTAGATAGAGAAGATTAACACGGGATAAGAACAGAACATATTTATATTTACTGCAGGATTTCCCATGCAGTGTATTGAGTAGATTTTTGTCCACCATAGAAAAGGTACTGCATAACCAATAGTAGACCAGTCAGGGTGTTTGTGATAACTGACTATGACATACATTGTATTATGACAAGCAGGGGGGCTATAAATTAAATTGAGAAAACCCCACCATAAAAATCACTAAATCCACCATAAACCTGCTAACAGTACTTATTATCAACTAGCCATGTTGGACAATGGCAATTCTTCTCCTTTATCATATGCCCCACTTACAAGTGCCTTATCTCTTCTCTTACTATCAGTTAATATCCATCTAATTATGCAATGTTTCTTGACAAAGAACATCGTTCCATACTGCTCAATGACATATAAACAGATTAGTAGATTGTAAAATCTAGTCAAACCATTTTTCAATAAGTGCATGTTGATAAGTGTTTATGTGATATAGTGATATGTGCATGATTCTCTCTGATGGTTTCAGAAGTTAAGCCTCTGACTAGATGCTTTCAGGATTCTTTGACAACCGTAATATACTGTGTGTGAAATAGGTTATAAAGTAATAATACACTAAGGTATACCCCACTTAATATGCAGAAAAGGCAAATAAAATCGAGTGTGATTGATCACTTCAAAATATATTGTGTATCATAAATGCCATGTCAAAAATCCACTTGACTAAACACAGAGTTGGGCATCAATAAGTTTATAGACTTTCAGTTCTCTGATTATGAAGCATTTCATAATCTTTGTGTTTATACAAGCATACACACCATCGATATTGGCCATCTACTTTTTGTATTTACACCTTATATTCAGGCACAGGAACTCAACTCCATTTTAATGGCTTCCTCTGTTTTCAACATCTCAATTTTCACTCAATTTTCCAATTGACTGGACAAAACTAATGGCCTCAGATCTCCACCTCTGTGGCCACTGCTTTCCACCTTCTATAGACCAGGTAATTTATGTTGGTCATCGTCATTTTCACTAAACCTGCCCCAAGGTAAGGAACTGTCCATATAGAAAAACAAGTGATGATATCTTTGTGGTCCATTTCACTTAGTGAACCCCACATTGAATAATGGAAGGATTTGCATGCATCAGAGTAATTATAACTCCCTGAAAGACATGGGTATTTCTAGGCCCCTCATTGGGAGTGGAAATTGAAAACACTCCAGAATTTCAGCTGTAGTTTACTCGTAGGCCAAATTTTTGCCACACACAGTCATGATCATGTATCAGACTTGATACAATGGTTTCTCTTTATATTCTTCCAACAATAACAAAGACATCTATATAAGTTTACATAATGGTGTGCATTTCAAGTAATCTTTCATTTGAAAGGATAAGAACTTTCTCTTGTGGCCAGTAAATTATAAAAGTTTATACAGAATAAACACTTACTACATGTATCATCTAAACCTATATTTGCATAAGTCATCTAAAAACTAAAGCGTAACTGATTTTATGATTTGACACAGCTAATTTAATCCAGTCTTGACAATGACCCAATGCCCTTTGCTAATCATGTGTAGGGAGTTCATTACGCATTGTACACATCTTTAATTTCTCCGAAGGGAATACAAGTATCCTACTGATGCCCTGGCAATCAAACACCAATTTAGCCGATATGATAGATGACCATAGAACTACACAAGATAAGACTTGACCCCCAGTGCAGTGAGAAATCACCTGAACTAAAATACCATGTCAAAGCCTCTGTCAAAATGATTAATTCCCCTCAAATGATGTTTCTATTCCAATCTCAAAAAAAAAAAAAAAAAAAAATTAACATCTTTTAATTTTCTTTTAATATGGCAAATAGTTTCCTTTCTAGCTCAGAAGCATAAAAATAACTGGTGAAAACCCACCTACTAAGATTTTAACTTTTGAAATTTGAGATATTTTGAATGGACCACATTTTTTTTATAAATTCACTTGCTATGAAAGTATTCTATTTAGTAATGGAGCTATCATCACACAAACGCAGTTAAAAGACCATCACGAATTTCAGTTTCAAGTTGTAGTCCACTGGGTGCATCAAGACCGATTGTGTGTTCCAGCACTCAGGCGGAATGATTCCTTGGCTGAATTTAGAGCAGAAGGCTACAATTGTTGGTGAATTTAAAGAAGGATAATTACCATAATTATACTACATTGTCTACTCTTGTTTATTCAGTAATTGCAGTCACTGACAACTGAAATATGAAATTGCTACCTACGACACCACCAAATTTACCAATATTAGTCGTTGTTGGACTCTTTTATATACAAATTTTAAATTGCATGTTTACTACCTTGTACAACATTTCCACATTGTAATGTACTCTCATTTGACACGGTGTTATTTTCAAAACTATCATTTTTTTCTTATCAAATTTAATATAATGATTTAGAGCAGATTAAACATCATTTTAAAACTCGTAAAACTTCATATCCGTTCATATAATCATCAATTTTCAATGTTACAATTATATGTACAGTGGTGATATTTTATCCACAATATTATGATTAAATGGAAATTTTAAATTATTGTATATACTTCTAACCTAACAGTAATATGGTGTAAATTATTTATAGTAATCTTATTTCTAATTCATTTTAATAAAAAATGTAATACAAATGAAACATCAACATTTTCACAAAAAAAAAAAAAATTAAAAATAAGTTCTTCAACATTATTTTCAATTCAATTAAAAAAAGAAATATAAGGAAATATATCTTTTTAATTGTAATATACATATGTACCTAAATATATCATTTGAAAGTTATTCCAAAATTTTAAAAATAAAAGTATCCATGACAGGAATCTAATAAATAGTTTATTCCGATATTGTTGTTTGGTGTGATTTTTCAAGTGTTGGCAAAGGTTTGTGATTTGATAAAATATATCCCAAAGAAAAACACATTTCTGTATGTGTTACTGAATACTACAAATCCTTATAAGTTTCGCATGAAAGCTTTTAATATAGGAATTCTTTCGACTTGAGTAAATCCCTTCTGTCAACAAATCCCGAAAGCCGACAACGAAAAAAAAAAAATACAAATGACAGACCAACCTGTATTTATCATGTTTAGGACGCCTCTCAAATATTCCCCCGAAAATCAAAATACACTTCAAATTATTTTTTTAATCAGGTAGTCTTTTGGTATTTATTTTTCTAAAATGTCCTTTTTGCTTTTTTTGTCCCCACGATTAGAGAGAGCTCATTCAACCACTCATTGCCAAAATCTTTGGATATTCAACACGCGCTTTTGGAAAGATGTGCACATCTAGACGTATAAATGTAATATTTGACTTCATAAATGAAATAACTCATCTTACCTTCTCTAGCGCATAGTCCTATTGTAGATAAACAACTTAAAACAATAAAATACGGAGCCACTGAAAAAACCGTCCGTCTCTTCGCCATGTTTCACTTTCTGCTACTAAAGTTGGCGCATGCGCTGTAGTATTTGTATACATAGGAATGAAGTGCAACACCTCCGTTTACTTTCTTTGATCAACCACGTCTTTGGGATGACGACAAAGTATTTCACATTATGTATAAATCGCATAAGTGAAACTTAAACAGCATATTCAAGACTTTCTCAAAAAGACTACAAATTAAAAAAAACAAAACAATAAAGCTGTCTTACGCCGTTAATGAAATCTAGATTACAAGAATGATACAGGAGTAGCCTCCCTTCTGTCATTTTTCTACCTGGCGAAAAGGTGTGAAAATGAAATAGCGTCTAACTTATTTCAAGCCTAGAGGGATTTTTTTTATTGTGATGTGCTAAATTTCCTTTAAGCTAAGAAACGTTTCTTTACGATTCTAAATCTTTTTATGTGCATGTTTCAAATGAAGAACGTCAGTAGGCCTATAGTACATTTTCAATCTAGAATATTTTACATACATGTGGACAATCATGACAAAAGTTGGTGTTATTTTTAACCATAGATATGTGCATTCCTACAGCTTGATATCTATAACAGACAAATTGAAAGAAAAATATAAATAGATGAAACAAAATAAACAATCAGCTATAAAAAGAATTACCAAGCCGTAAAGCAAGACACTTATGATGCAGGTGCTTCCTTTGTGATGTCATGATTGATGTCATAATATATGACAAGTAATATCCATAGTGACGTCACAAACGATTTCTTGACAAATATTAGTATCTGCATGACATATTCATCAACGTTCATGAATACTGAGTGAAACGATCAATACTAAAATATTAAAAGAGTAATTCGACCAACTTGTTTGAAACAGGTTGTAGGTTAAAAAAATATTTTTTATTTAAAAAAAGAAAAGAATACAACAGCACTTTTTTGTAATAAGGTAATATTTTTAACTGATTGATGTTATGTCCATATTAATATTATAACTTTTCATTGGCTATATGTGCACTTTGTAAATTATAACAATAAAGTTGACTACATTTTGAATGGACACAGGAATCGAACATGGTGTGGGGCTGATTTTTTTTCCCGATATTTACACCTGTATTTTTCAATATAGAAAACTGATCTACCCAGTTTATATTGCTTGTCCACCCCATCCTTAGTTCCCAGAGAGAGAGAGAGAGAGAGAGAGAGAGAGAGAGAGAGAGAGAGAGAGAGAGAGAGAGAGAGAGAGAGTAAAACAATTTCCTACGAGCGTGTTTGATACGGAAAATGTTATTAATATTTATCAAACATTTGATTTGATTGTCGTGGAGTATCTTTTCCCAGACCCTGGAAAATGTTTTCGATCATAAGAAGCTTTACATTTTAGTTTCTAAAATGTGGATGTAAATGAAGATACTTAAGAATGCGGATGGTATTTTATTTATATGAAGTTGCAAATAACCAATTGTTTATTTTAAAAAAAAAAAGTATTACTAACATTTGTCATGATTCAACATTTTGCATAAACAGTGTATTTGGATTTTATAAAATTTTAAGGTAACAAATTATATTCGGTGATATATCATATTAAAAAAATGTCATACAATATCGGATTTCTATAGTGAAAATATGGATTTACAATTTTTTTTTAATATGCTAACCCCCATCCTCAATGCAAATGTTTATACATTGTTTTTACATCAAGATATCAAGCTTTTTACATAATTTATATAATATTTTATATTTATCAAGATAATTTATAAATGCGAGATTACTTTGTTATGAGGAAAAAGAACACATGTACTATGCAATTTCTATGCAAATGAAGTTATATGTTTTAGAGCATAGGTGTCAATGCTTACTTCCAATCTTGGAACAGCTTGGAGCAAACGAGGAAAATCAAGTATGAAACGGGGGATAATGAATTTTAACTAAGATAAAATCGATAGATTCGTAGATCAGAAGGTTTCTAACTAGGATGGCTCTTTCATTTATCACGTGCATCAGCATTCGGCACGCGGCTATTACAACACAATTTCTGTGTCTAATCAAGTTCATCACGTGCCGTAGAAATTGAGATTTTCACGCATGGTTGATTCCTAGCACTGGTCCTGCCACTTCCCATTCTGATTGTCTTCGATAAAGTTGAACTGTATCGAATTAATTGTGTTAATGTCTCGACCTATTCCACACACTCCCCGATATCAGAACACTGGTAAAATGTCTGCAAAGGAGATGGGTGAACATGTCGAGAGATAAGCCCATAACGCGACAAACATGAAGGTGAAAAATTAAATTTCAATTATATCAAAATTTTCCTTAATATTTCACCTAATATTAAAGTATACTTTCTGTAAAATCTCTATAACTTGCACAAATCTCATGAAGATTAAAGTTATTTGTCTATGAAATATTATACACACACAAAAGAGGACAAAATGAGTTATTTTTTCACACTATAACACTATTTTTCGTTATGAGTGGGTCTTCTCTCCATTTTTTTGAAAGATAATCCTCAAAGTTTGCATAAAAACATACATGTACATATTTTGGTTTCCAAAATTATGGAGCAAAGACCCACTATACCTTAAAAATATAATTTTATGACATAACTTTCGTATCTTTTCGAGAAATACTAGAAGTTCCTTAAGTCAATGGTCATGATTTAAAGGCAATACATCATCAGGACTTGTGTAGCGTAGTGATTTGCGTGCTGGTCTCAAAAGAGAATACAGCTCAAGATTTTTATTGCCAGGGTTCGAACCCAATGAATACCACATTATTTTTTTTTTAATATAAAAGAATAAATTTTAACGAAAAATCTTCCTCAAAACTTTTTGTTTCTCATGATTTCATAAAAATCAATGATGAGAACTTTACTCTAAATACTAAATTCACAATTTGAATATGATTCTTATATATCTGAAGCTATTGGGCTTTCTGCACGCTAAGTTCACCCATCTCCTTTGAAATATTTTTAAGCCCCCCCCCTCAACTACTAGCCTTCTCGGTAGCAATGTTAAAAAGCGAAGTTTTTTTATGCCCGATGGTAACTCGAAAGATATTTTTGAAAGAAAACGACATATGTGAAGACGGACCTTTGTTACAATTAGCCATAATTAACGCGTAACTTGTGAGAAAAAACCAAGTGTCTTTGTACGATCCATTGATAACACCCCTTAGCGGATATGGTGATGCTTGTAAAAATATTCTGAATGAAAAAGATCGAAGACAGAATTTCTGTTCGGTCATAAATCGTAAAGAACTGTCGATTTTTATGACTTGCTACACATTTTTGCCGTTGGACCGTCAGTCGCCCGGGTGATAAAGTCGAGATTTAATGCATCCGTGCTGTGGCCATTTCGTGGTCAGCTGGGCAGTGCTATGAAATTTTCTGGTGCATTGATGTAGCTAACTTAGTGATTTATGAAAATGGATTTTGCCACTGCTGTTTGTGATGAAAAGATTAGAGTACTGTCTGAGCATAAAAACATGTCCCCTTATCATGGGAATTTGTTTAAACCTAAAAGAAATATTTCATTCTTTAACTCTTTTCGAATAATACGTGTCCATTAGCTTGATAAAATAAACTGAATAAATGCATTTTTCACATTTATGATATTTAAATTTTGAGGAACACGTCATCCGTTCTTTTAATTGTACTCAGTTGTTGGTGAAATCGCCTCTAACATATTCTTTATAGAAAGAATCCCCTTAAAAAAGGAGGACATGCGTTTTTCAGTAAATATGCCCTTTTAGTAAGTTATTGGTATCAAACATACAGCAAATATGATTTTATGCATTTTTGTCGTCACTTTTGACGTAAAAAAAAAAATTAATGTTAAAGATAAATTTACGGATTTTCACACATGTAAAAAAAAAACACAATTGTATTGATTTGATATTGAGAAACGATGTTATTCCATCCTAAGAATTTAAAAAATCTAGTGAAATAAACATTCCTCTACACATTTTATTCCTCCTTAATTATTGTTTGACATGAAATCATGAAAAGCATTATGAGGACACATAACCAAAATATCAAGCTTTCACGTTAGAAAGTGTTTCCTACCCGAGTTCAGTAACAACACGAGTTTTGCACTTCCTGGGTAAAATATTTTCAAGTTATTTGATATTATAAACATGAAAACGTAAATAAACAAAAAAATTCTACATAAGGGTTAAATGTGATGGAGCTGAACCGCACGAAATACATGCACCACATTATTATAATTTTCCTTTTTTTCGTCAAATGTCCTTAATCGAACTTTTTTGTGGTTTCTTATAAAAAAAAAATTTGTGTGTGTAAAAAAAAATAAAGGTACCGGGTACGTCATAAAATATTTTTTTACAATGAAAATTCACTTTCTATAAAATCAGAGGGCAACAAAATTGTTCCATATATCTCTTGAGCAGCCGAAATCACTAATCTTTCTTTTAGACATGGTTGATTCACATGTAAACAGACATGTTTGAAGTGCATAGTTGCTATCCAGTCTACACAATTTAAAGTGATTATCTTGTAACGTTAAGTAAATGGAAAAGTTAATGAAAACGTCTACATCAACAACTACCGCCATGTTGATTATGATAAATGAAGCCATAGACTTTTTCCCGACAAAGACTTATTTTCAAAACAAATAGACCGCTAAAATGTTGTTTGTGACTTAAGTTACACCATATGATCAAAGGAAAAACCTTGTAAAGTTAATGCAAATGAGCAAATATTCATTGAGTTTAGAATATATTCTTTGTCCCGTCGTTCCCGCTTTACAATTAGTGAAGGCCCAATCAAGTAAAAAATTATTGCAATTTGAAAGCGAATATCTCACAACATCCAGCATCAACTTTGTTCGAATTTTTATATTTAAATAGATGTCAATTTAAAGATTTAAAAGAATTTTAATTACTAGATTTGTGATGTGGTTTTTTCATTTTTTTTCTATTACTTATACGTTGATAAGTTTCACAGAACATGATTGTCATTAATCCTAGTGGTTGATGATAACATTGTTTAATTTAATTAATAAATCATACAAAGACTTACAAACGTGTTGACAACGTCAGCGGACAGTTACA